GTACATTTATGATAAGCAACATACGATCTTACTGGATTGTACAGGACCCTGCAATACGACAACTGAAAAGCCAACATTACAGTACGAGGCTGAAGTGCCTCTTGTAAGCTCAGGTGCTGTCCAGAGAATGTAGCTAGCTAGTGAAGGTCATGCCTAAATTATTCCTACCCTTCCAGTTTAATTCGACTTCCACAGTAGCCAGCGAGCTAGTTACAGAGCTACATGAAAAACATGCTGCTCAAAGCCACGCTTTTCATATAGCTCTGTTGCTAGCTAGCTGGCTCCTCTGAAGGTGAAATGAAGGTATGCGCTAGTATACGTTAGTGCTGCACACTTCAACTGAGCCAGAAACACAAAACGAACATCAAACTATTGGTGTAATCGAGCTTTTATCATTCTTTGACTAAATCACTAATAATTTTATTAATGCACTAAATAGCTTGGTTAGCAAGCTAAATGATAGAAGCAAAGTCAGGTCCTACTGGATTGTACAGGACCATGTGATGTGGTGCGTTTTTGCATATTAATTTAGTATGATGCAACTACACAGATTCAACCAAATTTTAATCAGCTCATCTGCTACACTATATCTGTTAATGTGCAAAGTTAGAAAGCTATGGCTAGTACCATTCTTGAGATTTTGAGCATGCAAGGATCGCGACTCACTCACTTGCTCCCTTTCGTTATGGCCTTATTAGCTTGCTATTGCAGGGAAAATAGGACTGTTTTGAGATACTTTGGAATTTCTAACTTCAGCTCGCATTGAGAAGATACATACAGGTTCAGGATGAAGGGTACACACTCTTAAAAACTTAAGTTTAATGCACTCCATTTGAAGCCTATAAATCAGTTCAGTCTTGTTGTGTAACGTATGTATCGCCATAAAAAGCGCATGTTGATCCAGAGCTTCGTTACGATATTTATTAATCTAACACAACTTTATCGCGTGAATATTATAAGCTATTGCTAGCTAACGCCTCCTAACCAAAAACACCACCCCGGCCGCTCAGAAATTCTGCTTCTACTGCTTCCTCCACAGGAAACAGCACCCATAACCATATACTGTAAGTAAACACCATATATAGTTATGATTTTGCTACTGTTACATAGAGATATAGAATTCTATCCTGTTTTTATCCCCATGTGAAACCAGCAGCTTATGCTTTTTTTCAGGAATTTAATAAATGTTCCTTCCACAAATTTAATTTCGCTTCCTCCTGCAATCCCTCAAAGATTCATACCTCTGTGTACACCCACAATGTTATAAATATGCCTGTAATGAATTGTGCATGATGCTAGCTAAAATGTAACAACTACATTATGCACTTTTAAATAACATTTGAAAATAATATATCCCAGAAAAAGCAATGCCAGCAACCAAATGAAAAAGGTTAATATTTTTAATGAAACTTGCACAAATTTCATACTATGGAACTGGTTTGAGTCACTTCGGACTTGTTTGTATGGTTTTCGGCGTGTGCGATGACCTCCTCTGTCGATAGTGTGTTGCCGCCGCCCTCATGTGGCGTATCGAATTGCTGGAAAAGGTGCTGGAGGCCTAGCGTTGGGAAGCGAGCTCATGCGACTTCCATGCTCGCCTGCGCTGAGGACCTCTTTAGGAACGTGGGTTATTTTGGAAGGCCTGTGGCCTTATGATGCATATGGCTGTATGGAGGACTGATTCCTCGGCAGTTTTCGTGTTCCTGCAGCATTATTGAGACGCCTCCCAATCCCTGATTTCTGCTCCATTAACAGCTCCACTCCACCATACGTCCGCCTGGTGCTGGCGCCTTGATTGCAGACCAAGCATTTTACAGAGCTCTACTTTGCCACTTTAGTGCTGAAGATGCCAGCTGTCTTTCTTTGTCTCACTCACTCAGGAGGTAAAGATGCCTCCTTTCTGCACCTTCTCATCTAATGTCTCTCTATCCCTCACTTGCTACCCTTTCTTCTTCCCTTGTCCCCTTCTCTGAGTTAGAGGAAAAACCTGTGTGCTGAAACCTTCACACTGCTGAATCCTGCTTTCATTTTCACCAGCCAATCATATCACCACTGCTGATCCTCTTCTGCTTGCTCGTTGGTTTTTCTTTATCAGTGTCCTAGAAACGGTGCGTGTAGATTGGAATGAGGAAGAGACTTGGTACCGGTGAATGAGGGGGGATCGAGGTGGTTGAATGCACAGGGTTTAGCCGTTGTATATGGGGCTAATCGACCTTCATTACACCAGGAAACCGCTTTCTCTGCACTAATGACCGCCCTCTGCCCCCCTCCCCCAAGCACGGCTTATCTGCACAATGGCCCAGCATTCCTGTCACCCGCCTGTCACTTTGGTGACTTGCTGTGAGCTGCTCTCACTGTAGCAGGGAGCAGTCATGTGGTACAGGGATGCTCCAATCAGAATGTCCCATCTCTGGAGCTCCACCCAGCCACCATCGCTGTCAAAACCATGATTAGTTTAGCGGTAAGAGAACAATCAGGATAGAATCCAAATCAAAGTCCATCAACACGCAGGCACAGTTAATTTCATCTTTCTTGATTACATGAACATTTGTATATTTTCAATTTATAGTTTATTGAGCTGTAATTTAATGCTGTAGCAGTTGATTTTCCGGTGTTAGACAAAAGTGAGAGGTACAGAGTTAAAATGACACTTCAAGGATATGAATTAAAACTAGAGGAATCAATTGCATAAGAGTTACTGTTATTTACAGATATTGGAGATTTAATTTCTACAGACTTATGAAACCACACCCCATTGACAGATCTTATGCATCTTATGTATTGAAGAATTCAACTAAGATACATAAAATTTAATTCAATAGAATTTTGCCAAGAAGCAGAGGCCCTTTTTTAACTATACATGGAGTTATTTTAACACTGCACCTGAGTTGTATTATTAACTCTTTAGGAAGTGTTAAATTAACACTGCAAAGATTGGGGCAATATATATAACACCATCATAATGTTATTTAAATCTATAGAATTTGCTGTGTACAGTGGACTGAAGCATGATAGTGGAGAGCATTACCTTCCTGAGTCTGTCTGTATTGATGGGGACCTTTTCCTGAAAGCTTCTAGTTACATTTCTGAATTGGGAGCTTCTTTAGTGCAATATATTGAAAATATCAATCCGAGAGGTTCTGAATGGTTATTACATGGCCAGCAGTCATACTCACCCTCAGCCCCATTCATGTGCCTCCGAGGGCTTGTTTTAACATTCTGACATTTACTGGCCCAGCGGAGTCACATACCGTGCCATTGACAAAACCTGCTAAAATGGAAATCGCCAGACACCACTCGTCTTCTACCGCTGCCGGCGTCAAAACTTTCTTTTGTTTTACCTTGTGTCTGGTATCGGCGTAACAACGACATAACACTACGTAACTCCCTCTCATTCCGAAAAATAAGTCTGGAAAAGGCAAAACTTCACCCCTGAAATCTAACTTCCTGCCCAGAATCGTTCACGGCACAGCCATGAAATTGTGACACGCGCGCTGATTGGCAGGCACTTGAGAGACCTGCCAGGTCTCTCAAGCGCCTGCCAATCAGCGCGCGTCACAATTTCATGGCTGTGTGGAGTTTTGCCGTGAACAATTCCGGGCAGGAAGTTAGATTTCAGGGGTGAAGTTTTGCCTTTTCCTGACTTATTTTTCGGAACGAGAGGGAGTTCCGATGAATGGTTGGTGCCGAACGAATCTTTAATATGTCGTTGTTACGCCGATACCAGACACAAGGTAAGACAATAGAAAGTTTTGACGCATGCAGCGGTAGAAGACAAGTGGTGTCTGGCAATTTCCATTTTTGCAGGTTTTGTCAATGACACGGCATGTGACTCCGCTGGGCCAGTAAATGTCAGAATGTTAAAACAAGCCCTCGGAGGCACATGAATGGGGCTAACTCACCCTGTGATTTCCTCCTGGGCTAATGGCTGCAGTTAAGCAGAGCTGGCTTGCTTGGTGTTTGGACGGAAAAGCAGTTGGAAAAAACTGCGAGATTTTGGTGAGTCAGTAATGATCGATCTTCCATAGTGAGGTCCTGGCTACTTTCCAACTAGCATAAAACATTATCGCAATGTTACTGTACTGTTGCGCCAATGTTTAGCTATTTATTTTAAAGAGATTTCTTGGCTGAGCTCTTTGACTACTTTTCTCTATTTGGGTTCCTAATCTTCCGCTAATTTACTTGGTGTAACGATTTCCTTTCCATCCCGCTGATGGGAGGCAAAAGCTCTTTAAGTCAGCCCCCACCCTTTTTTCATAAAGCACTTTGTGATTTGTGCTGTTATCTTTTCTGATTTGTCAATCTCTGCTTTCTCTTATGTCTGACTCTGGTTTTAATAACTGAGTTTGAGTTTCACGGAGCTCTAGGTTGGCGAGAAATGTTATCTTACCTTAATTTACCTGACACTTCTATTTAAAGTGACTTAATATAGGTGAGACTATGCAGAATCCAATCCCCTCAGCCACAATGCGGGGTTCAGGGTTTTGCTCAACCTCCAGAGTGTCTGTACGAAGCACAGCGAATCCCACCTCAGCATGATGATGGGAGACTGTGCTGTGGACAGATATGTGCTCACGTATGTGTGGCGCTGCCCCTCTCTTGTCACAGTCTGCTCTGCTGCTGCAGTCTCTCCCTCTGCCTAGCCACACCCCTTCCACTTCTGGCCACACCCCTTCCACTGCAATTGCTCTCAGCTGAGTCTCGTTACCCCGCCAGTATGTAAGCAGCTTTGTTTCACTAACTCACTGCCAGATTGTCGTTGCAGCATGCACTACTCTCCAGCGTTTATCTTCGGTCTGACTTCCTGGAATCGACTCTGCCTGCCTCTGATGACGTCCTCTCGTTCCTGCCCCGGTAAACCTGATTGCCTTCTGCCTCTGACTCCGAGTTCTGCCTGTGTGCTTCCTGGTTCCTGTCTGCCGTCTTCTAAGCCCCTGTCTTGCCACTTCACTGCCTGCCTGTGTGGACACTACCCAGTCTGCTGAATATTAAGCCAGCTTGCTCTGGTGGCCCAGTGGTAACTCTCCCATCTGCAGTGTGGGTGACCCGGGTTCAAATCCTGTCATGGACGCCTGTTCTCAAGTTGCCAGAAGAGCTGCTCTCAAGACTCACAAGGTCCAGATCCTGTTCTGCATCAGGCTACTCTGCTCTGCATTTTGTTTGCCCCTGCCTTGAAGTCATTAAAGATCTATAAACGTCCACTCGCTCTGATTGTGCTGCTTTTAGGTCCTACCGCTCCCCGTGTCATCTCTGACCAAGAGCCAATATGTGAATTTTCATTATATTCTGCGTCATTGTAAAAGTTACCCCAAAGTCTATGTCATCGTAAGTCAATTTATAGAGCTGTGAAATAGTACTCGCTCCCCTCCCAATTTCCTCTTCCTCAGTCTTCTTCAGGATTGTAGAGACCGGAATTTATGGCTCTATCAATTATTACAAGTGTCTCTGGCCAGAAGCAGCGATGCTTCTCCACTCCATCACAGTCCCACCACCGTGTTCTATTGTTGATTTTCTATGTTCTTATTGTGGAAGGCTGCAATAGCTTCATGCCAAATGTTATAGTCCTCCTAAAAGTTCCCAGTTAAGTTGTTGATGCCCTCTTGGAAGGCCAGTCACTCCAAGGAAGATTCACGGTTCTGTTCAACGTTTTCTCCCTTTGGAGATAATGGGTCTCACACTGTAGTCTGCTTGAATCAAAGAGCCTTAATGCCATTTTATACCAGGTATGTTGGAATATCCTTGTAATCGTTTCAGAACTTTGCTCTCCTCTCCTCTGGAACTTATTTTCATCATGGCTTAGTGTGCTGCTTGCTGAGACATGTTAGTCTGCTTCACATTTCGGGAAAGGTTTTAATTTAGTGATTTTTAGATTCAGTTGGGCTGGTGGTACTCAAACCTGGTATGTCTAGTGTAATTGAACTAAATTATCAATTACAATTGGTGAATTACCTGGCATTCACACGGGGTCAATAGGTGTGCGATAACTATTTTCTTTCAATAAATGAATTGATCATTTATAAGCTCTATTTTTTTTTTTTTTTTTTTTTTGGTCATGTTGTCTTAGTATTATATGAAATTTTGACCTGAAGGAATTAGTATTGTCAAATACGTAAAAATAGAAATCAGGCAGGGGGCAAAAAGTTTTTCTCTGCAATTTTAGTCACAGTGAAGGATTTCTCAGTGGAATAATACCAACCCTGTGTCTTTACATTATTACACTGCACTCCCTGTGAACTCAGATTATACATCACTGAACTACTTTATTAGCGGCTGTGCATAGACGTTTGTGAAGAGCTACATTAGGAGGTTTGACCTTTTCAATAAGTTAAGTTTGGAGCAACCCTCACAGAAGGATAATTTTATGTTCCCTATACACAGCTAGCTTTATAACCACATTGTGTATATAACGGAGAATACGTGGTATGCGCCTGCTAACTGTCTGATATGGGAGACTACATTATGCTGTGTTCTGCATGTACAGATCACTCTGTACCAGCCATCAGCAGAAAAATCTGGGTAGAATGGTAGCACTGAAGCTGTTAAGTATTGCAGTTATTAGTTAGAGTAGTAATGTTGAGGGTGTTCAGCAGTTGTTAAAGTTGTCAAAGCTTTGTGGTTCAGTTGTCTGAGTAGTGTAGTGCAGTGTTTCAAGTCATGTGGTGTTGGGTAGTGTCATGTAGTCCAATATAGTCGGAGTAGTTTAGAGTTTAGAGTGGTGTGATGTAGGGGTAGCCTGAGGGCTGTTTGGAGTAGTGGTTAAAGTAGTGGGGGTGTAATCACTATAATAATGAGGTTTGTCGGTCACAGAAGCAGTTTGTTGTTGTGGTCCGAATAGTGCCCTGATCAAAGCAGTCTGGTCCAGTGCAATGCAGTTAGTGTAGTTTTGTTGGTAGAGCAGTGTAGTTTAGTGTTTGGAGTTGCGTGCTGCAGCTGTTATGAGTTAGTTGTGTAGTGTAATGGTTTGTAGAATGGAGTTTATTGGTCAGAGAAGCAGTGCTATGTGGGGTTTCAATAGTTATAGTAGCTAGACAGAGGAACAGCAATTCATGGCAGCCTTTTCATCACCGACGGCCAAGAGCTATTGCACCTGAGAGAGCGGGGGCAGGTGCGCTTTCCAAAAATATCCTCATTGTCTATGACACACTGCTACATCTGTGTTACCACGCACCGTCATACCAGCTCCCCCTATCTGATCCCATTCTCCCCTTAATCATCTCTGGAAGGAACAGATCAGCTCTCCTGTGGGAATAGTGTGATATTTATAAGTCGCCACCTGAAAAAAAAGACCTGAAGTACGGAAATACTGAGAACTGCATAAAAAAAAAAAACTGCTTTCAGATTAATGTGTGTGAGGAAACTGTGGTAGTGGTGTATCACAGGTTATTCTGTTAAATTATTTCCCGTTTTAAAAACTATAAATAGCAGAGAAATGCACATGCAGTACACCGAGCAGTGGTTTTTGTTATTTGGTGTTTGACTAGGACTGCATTGCAGTGCAGCGGGGAGCATTATTGCCTTACGAAAGGAAGGTTGCGCTTTCAAATCCGGCCCGGGACCTTCTGTGGGACGTTTACCTGCTCTCACTGCTTGTGTGGGTTTTCAGCATTTTCCTGAGCCCAAAGACATGCATATTAGACTATTTTGAGACTGTAAACTTCCTGCAGGTGTGTTGTGTTTGTGCCCTGCGATAGATTGGCCAACAGTCCGACCTCTTTTCCACTGGATTCCGGTGGATTCTGGGATAGGCTACAGCCCCTTCCATGACTCTCATCAGGAATAAGCTGATCATATAATGGATGAAACGATGATTCTACACTACATTCTCATGAAAAGCAACAGTGAATATGAGGTTGCAGTGGAAACCGTTGGCTGTACTCTGGGGGTGCAGCACATCTCTGTTGGACGAGCTTTGTAGGAATTGCGGCCTTTCGCACAGTCCTAGTGCTCCAGCGCATTGCTGTACTGCTTAAACCCTTCTCCTCTTTAGTTCAGCTGAGTGCCTCTGTATCATCATCCATGCGTGTTGCCCCAGATAATGCATCGCTCTATGGCCAAAACCCCTCATGCCAGTCCGTTCTGTATCGTCAAGGAGCACTATCTCAACACACGTCACCGAGGGACGAATGTGTCTTTGCGGCCTTGCAATGAAGTTTATTTAATAGTGTAATCGCCCATAACTACAACGAGAAATTAGGTAGAATGACAGCCACTATGGAAAATCTGAAAGAAGAGCATATAGAAGAAATTGTGTGCAGATGTTGGTTTTTTGTGAATATACATGTTTTGTAAATATGCTGCGTTCACTGTGGCTTGTAGTAAGTAGCCTGTGTGGATGTTGCTCCACAGGCAATACACTGGGACGCCCCGATGTTGGTTTCGGGAAGAGTTGCAGGCAAGAGTTGCCAAAATGCAGGCAAGGAAAGTTTTTTTTTATATTCATGAGAACCGCTAGCTGATTGGTCGATAAAACGTTCTGTCTGACGCTGTCATCTGCTGTCTTCCTGAGATTTTTCAGACATTCTGGAGAGCTTCAGGTAACCCAATCAGGTAGCAATTCTTTCATGAATACTAATGAGTCGGAATGAATTCAGAGATTTGCGGACGGCAGAGTGGTTAAGAGGTAGTGGGAGGAGTCGGAAGTGGGTGGAGCTGGAAGCGCAGGTGCACTGGTCTCAGATCAGCCGTGGCATTTAGCTGCTCCGTATCTGGCTCGGAGCGCAATTAATTACAGTTCCCATGGCTGCCTGTCAGCAGCCGCGAGTGCAATTACGTTAATTATACCCCGGGTGCATGACACAGTCACGCCGACCCTTAACGTAAGCAGGCAACTGTGCTCAATGAGGAGTCTGTGGGATGAATACTGTACTGGGTGCACTGCGGTGACCGAAGGGCATGCTGCGATGCTGCGAATGGGCTGAGGTTATATATCACACAAAATACACCCTTCCATCTCACTTTGATGTCAAAGCTTAGGGCTGTTAGTGCTGTAGCCTCCCAAACATTAAACTCAGAGCACGGTACAGTCGGTCTGGCTGGCTTTGTAGCACATGCTGCTGTATCTTTGAATATGCTGAACCATGTTTGGCTGAGTTGTTCTCCAGGACTGTTTGCGGCCGCATGTTCTCTTCAGGATTCAAGATTTATGCTCTGGTTTAAGGAAATACTACCTTTTAATTAATGAGGATTGATTATGAGCTGCCAGATAGCTCACTCGGTTAAGGCACTGCGTTGCAGTGCAGAAATGACCATCGCGTCGCGGGTTCGAGCCCCGGTCGTACCAACCGGCAGTGGTCGGCAGCTTTTTCAGAGTAGCGTGCAATTGGCTATTGCGCTACAGGGTTTCAAATTGGGAAGGGACTGCTGGGAAAGGGAAATAAAGTAAATAGCTTTGTTCGTTGCTCAAGCGCCTCCTGTTGGCCAGACGGGCGCTCGTCAGGAAGATCCTAAGCCTGTTCATGTCCGGGTATCCTCCGCCCTCGTTCTGAACTTGCGAAGATTCAACCAATGAGTGTGTAAGAAGCAGTGGCTGACAGGCATGTGCTTTGGAGGAGAGCCGTGAACTGTCTTCACTCTCCTGAATTGGCAACAAGGGGTCGCAAACGAGCAAGCCTTGTACATAGTTCACCAATTGGGCATTCCAGATTCGGGTGGGATTGGAGATGTCAAATTTATTAAAAACAAATAATAAAAATAAATAAATAAATTTTAAAAAAAAAAAATGAGGATTGATTATTGAAATATGGCATTCCGACAGGCCTCATGAGTTGTGGGTGATGTTAAGTTGAACCATAGTTATAATCTAAACTAGTTTAAAGTGTGTTTTCTGAACTTCTAGCTGGTCTTCTTGTAGTCATAGCTGATCTGCGTTAAAGCAGGTTTAGCCAGAGGAGTAAGCCGCAGTCCAAACTGGTGGACAAGCTCGTGAACAGCTGGCGGACCAGTTACCGTACAAATGTAGCTTTTAGTAAGGCAATGCAGATGTGCTGGAGAACTGCACAGAGGCTGCCTTACTCCTAAATACAAATAGCACTCCCTGTGATATTTTGCAAAGAATGATTTCGTAAGATTAAT